AAAGTGTGGCAAATTGTCACAATGGGTTTCGTAGTTGTCACCCTGTACTTTTGGCAATTAAAGTGGTCAATAAGATTTCGATTAATTTGTATTTTTAAGAAAAGTTTCCGCAAACATTTCAATAAATAAATAAAATATAAAGTTGAAATAATATGGAAAATTTTTATTTCAAGCAAAAGAAGCGCAATAATTGCCTTTTGCTTTGCGTATATGAAAGTTTGTTATCGCAGTCAGACATATAGACAAAAATAACAACAAAGATATCTAAGAGCTGCACTGATTTGCGCGAATAGTGAAAAGCATTATAATGAGTAAATAAATGATAAGATTTCTAAGGAAACTAAAAGTAAAACAATGTAATTGGCGGCAGACACAAAAATCGCGTAAAAAGCGAGTTAGTGGAGGAGAATATGTGAAAAAGGTTTACTTTATGGGAAGTAGAAGTTAATTGTATAAATAGCTGTGAGTTATTGAAGAAATTTGCGGTCTATATATATTTTTTTTATGATAAATTAGACAATATTTGGTACAAGACAATTTAAATAATAAATTCTAACTAAAGAGGGCGCTACTAAAATTCATTGCCAATGCGTTTGTTTGTTCGTTAGACCTACACTTCTCTCAATTTAACAGCTTTTAGACATTTAGTTCGTTATAAAGCGAGTCTGTTTTGTTTGTCTAGGTGTTTGGCATTTTCAAAGAAAGAAGCAAAGTTAAATATAGATGACACTTGCAAAGGTATCAAAGGAACATGTTTGGCGGACTTATCGTTCATTATTTGCACTTGAGAAAGCTCTCTGTAAAGTGGATGCCGCATGAGCTCACAATCCAGACAATGCACCTTGTCACAAATCAATGAAAACTAGTGCAAATTTGTATGATTTAGTTTTAAATTGCCTCCGCATACAACCTCTTCCACGGATCTGGACCCCAGCTACATTTTTCTGTCCTCAGGACTCAAGATATTGGTTACTTGAAAGCAATCGAGACAGAACCATAGTAGGCATAAGGCACCACAAAAATGATGTCGGAAAGCTGGAGAATCTCTATAATCAGCGCATCAATGCAATACGAGGCTTTTCAGCCTTTCTTGTATCTTTCAACCATGTACATTATGAGTGCCAGCAAATAGTCAACTAAGAATAAAAAATTTGATCCCAAAGTAGAAAAAAATTTTTTTCTTAACAATACTTGTATACAAATACACAATAACATGTCTACAAATTTTGTTTCGTTCCTTTGCAATGCTCTCAAACACTTCGATTTCTTAGAATTTACACAACAAAACAATAAAAGCCTTTGTCGCAATTTCAATCTGATCATAAATAATTAAACGATAACTACGAAATTTGTTCATTAGTAAAGATCAATTTCTTCATTGTTATCGATGCTAAAATCAAACAAAAAGTAATTTTTTAGCTGATAAATGTCACCAACTTCCATCGAAATTTGCCGTTGGGAATTTACCGAAAGAGATGTTATGAAAATCAAATATGTAAACAACCGTGGAGAATATGAAAAGGAAAGCAATAAAAACGTTAACTTCGGCTTCGAAGCTATAATACCCTTTACAGGTGCATTTCTTATAGCATAAAAGGGTAAAAAAATATGTTTATCTTGATTTTGATTGATGAGTTTGTATGACAGCTTTATGCTATAGTGTTTCGATATTGGCGATTCCTACAAATGAGCAGCTTCTTGGGGAAAAAAAGACGTATGCAAAATTTCAGATCGATATCTCAAAAACTTAGGAACTAGTTCGTCTATGTATGTACATACAGACGGATAGACAGACGGACATGGCTAAATCGACTCAGCTCGTGGCGCTGATCATTTATATACATACAGACATATATACCTTTTCAGATCTCCGACGTTCGCTTTGTATAATGTTATCACACACGTCATATACATGAACGTAAAATTAAAACAACAACAACAACAAATCAATTTTTTCTAGTGGCGAAAACTTGTATTACTCCAATCGTAGAGGAGCCAAAACAAAAATTCGTTAATATGGTAAAAGTTAAAAAAAAATGCGCACAAAAATACAAAAACTCATTCACAAAACACCAAGCGATCGCTGATAAAAATAACCAAGACCAAAAAGTACAAATTTAAGCATATCACACATATTCGTCTATATAAATATATCTATGTGTGTGATAGCGATATACATTAACTCTGTGTGAGTGGCCAATAATAAATTAAAAACAAAAAGAAACTCAACGGTGAGCAGAAACAGAGTGCCAGCAGAGAGCCGATTGCGGTGCATGCGGCGAGCAGCATTGCGTCATTTTATAAATTCTTTGATAAACCAAAATAAAATTGTATTCAAAGGGAGAACTTGCAGTAAGCAAGCTATAAAAGCAACAATAAGAAAATATTTTACATTTAAGTGCAACGGAAGGAATGTGGAATAGAGTTCTCAGGTGAAATTTATTTGATGGGGAAATGTCTGCTATAAAATAAGTCAATTAGATGAAAGCATTGATTTAAGTGTGGCCGAAGCCTCAGTAGCTTTCAGATACACAGAGACTTATAGAAAAAGATTTAGTTTGTAAAAAAGGCGATATTATAGCCAACAGAAGGAATGACCTGTTTAATTAAATTCATTTCTAAGAAATATATAAATTGTACTGACACAAATTTTGGAAACTACTTAGGATAGGTTAGGTTAGTATATAGAGCTGATCCTCACACTAAAGGCAACACAGAATCTCACTTGGATAGCTGTGAACACCTAACATAGCAGTGAAATGGACATGGCTAAGAGTAAGTGGTTCAGACGATCTCTTGCGCTCCACTCTGTTCCAGAAGAATCTCGCAATCGCAGAAGTTTTGATAGTTGACCAGTTTGCCAAGCTCAGGAGGTACATAGACAACGCTAGAGCGCAAGAGGACGACGGAGTGCCGTAAGAAATGCTCTTATTTTTATTGAACCTTATCTGTCACGTAGAATGCAATAGCAATATCAAATGAAACAAAAGCATGTCTCTTTGGCAATAAAACGAAGGCAATTAGTAAACATATTTCTCTTATTATTTCTTTTAAATAAGGTATGTATACATACTGATCCATTCTAATTTTTATTTTCGGCAAACAATTTCAATCGGTCGCACATTCACCTGAATCGCCAATTTCAGTCACTTTGCTGCCGGGCGCACCACCGAGCGGTGGCAGGCTTAAATATATAGGACGCCACAGTGGATCCAAATGCAAACACAAACCGCAAGAGCACTATTAGCCCATTCAGGCAGTGGAGCGTATTCGACGGCAAACGACTGGCAACAGCCGGCGAATCGTTTGTATGTCGAAAAGTAAAATTGTGTAAATGCCGTTATTGGGGGGGCAAGCAGGCAGCCAGGTTGGACAAACAACTAATTACCTATTTATTTTTGGTGTGCAATTTTTTCTTGTTAATTTCTTTATTTCGGTTTGTTATTGCCGCTTCCTTTCGCTTTGTATTTTTTCTGGCTTATTTTCGCTTGTAATGTGTTTATTGCCGTGAATTTTCGAAATGAAAAGTGTGTCTGTGGTAACGAAATTAAAAGTATGATTAGTTGCATCAATTTAAGGGGCGTTTCTGCTTCTATTTCAAATTCAATTGCTTCATTCGCTCGACGGTCAATGACATTTTGCACTATATTCGAAAGTGTTGTGGAATGAAGTGTAACGGTTTAGTGAAATTCGTGCATTTTTTCAGTACTTATCGATAATAGTTATAAGGACGCAAGAAGACAAGATAGTTGAAGATAAAAAACAATTATTTAACACCAAATTTTTTCATAAAAATAAATAAAAAATACGTTAAACGTCTAAAGAAGTAGGTTTGGAGCACGGTCTATGCTTCTGTTGCTTGTGTTAACAGAGTGGATTGTAAAGGCGCATAATTAAAATAACAGCGCAAATCCTTTGACACATGTGTGACCTTCGTGAGAATAAAGCAATAAATCTTAATTTCATGTTTTCTTACTGACGATCTCGCAGACCCTTTACAGGTGCATTTTTATAGCATAAAAGGATATGAAAAGATCTTCATTTGGATTTTTTTGACTTGATTGATCAGTTTGTTTTGCAGCTTTATGCTATAGTAGTCCGATGTGAACGACATGTTTTGAGATTTCAGCGTTACTTTGAATACTAATAATCTATGCCAATTTTCGAGAGAATATCTTGTCAAATAAATAATTTTTTCTATATACGAACTTGATTTTCAACGTTCAGTTTGTATGGCAGCTAAATATATGAGATATGGAGAGAAAGAACTTGTGGAGCTTTTTGGAGAGAAAGGACGTGTGAAAAAGTTCAGAACGATATCTCGAAAATTGAAGGTCTAGACAAATGAGCATGGCTAAAATGACTCAGTTCGTCAGTAATCAATTATATATATATACATATATTAGGTCTCCCTTCTCGGTGTTACAAACTTCGTGACGAACTTATACCTTGTTCTGGGTACAAAAATTGTGGCCTGAAAAAAAGAACAATGCCCTCTAAAATCATCAATTTTCTTATTACTGAATATTCAACACGATGTCAAAATCTGCCACTATAATTTGTATTATCTTTTTTAAGAGGTTAAATGGGCTTCAAAAAATCTATTTATTTATTGTTTTTTGTAGTCTATAACACATCTACAATATTGTCCTAAATGCTCCGAGTAATAGTTTTGGAGATACAGCCTTGAAAAGTTGGGCTCTCGGAGTCAGTTATAAGTCACTTAAAACTTTAAACGAGTTTTTCTCGAAAAAGATTTCTCACGAACCACTCAACCGATCTTAACGAAATTTTACATAGATCTTTGAGATGTTTTACAAGGACTTGAACGAAGAATTTTTTAAATTATCACGATTTAAAAAAAAGTCGAGAAATTTTCTGCAAAATTTGTTTTTTTTTTGTAAAAAATGTCCGCAAAAATACTATTCTCATTTGCTTTTTTTCTCGTTCAATACTTTTCTGATCTCAATTAAACAGGTATTTTTTTCTTTTTACTGCAGATGTTGCTGTAGGACATTCAGCTGGCAACGTGGAGGCACCTTTTTTCCGAGGAACTGTCTGAAATGACGTCGTAATGGCTGAGTTTTGAATATTTTTCTTTGAAAATTTCAGAAAATCTTTGTAAAATGTTTATTTTTGGAATAACAAAAAGTTTGAATAAAATATTTCATGTTTTATATGGAAAAAAAATTATTGAAAATAGGTCGGTTTTCTCGAAGAAACCCATGTAACCCCTTAACAACAATTCGAACTACCGTATTTACAATATGTGTATAAATTATTTGATTTACAAATAGAGAGAGAAGAAACGAGAAGATCATTGGTGGTGGAAAGAAAGCTACTGATAGGTTATAAAGCGACTGACAGCAACACGCTAACCACAATTAAAATGTAAAGTCCGGTAAAGCATTGCATTAGCGACTTAACTGCCACTGTACAGCCGCTTGCTTCCATTTGAGACCCGATAAGACTGATTACAGAACAGGTGAAGTACATAAATTTTCGAAATGGCGAGCAAATTTTCATTCGCCACATTTTTTATTAGTTTACCAACGCTTAACCACCCAATACTACAGATTTGTGGTAGACAAGTTGTATCTACACAGCTTTGAATTTGCGATTAATTCTGAAACGTTTTTATAGCTTAGTAGAATTAGTGAAACAATTTCTTCGTTTGCCAAATATACCAAAAACATATCCGAAACAGCAATATGCCGCAGGCGCTGAAAATTTCACCGGTTTTCAAATTATGCTTTATACACACCTGTAGCTGTTGAACTATTTCATAATTTTCGTTGCTCTGTAATACTTTAGGCACTTTGGGAGAGCAAATATAACACTATTTCTTACTCCCGTGCTGGTTTCTTTTAAGCTAAGAATACTTTTATGGCACAAAATTAAAATTTTACAGAAATCGCAGTCGTTTGATAAATATATATTTTTTTTCGATTTTTGGTTGCACACTTTTTCTCAAAAAAAAAAAAAAATCGATCATTAAAAAAATTTTTTTTAACTTTCTTTTTTTTAATTCACGATTCCGTCTGATCGGAAATACAAAAATTGTTACTGATAAATTTTCGTTGAACAAATAACTAAAGCTACTAAGTACACAGATCCCGGGCACAGAAAGAGTCTATTGCGAGAGAGCGCTAATTTTATTACACACGAGTACGTACATGCATACATGCATGTAGAGCTATATATACACACTGCACTTGGGCGTAAACACAAAATTAGCAATAAATAATATGGCGCACACTATGCTTATGCGAGAAAGCGCTTAAATCAAAAGCTGCGAATTTTAGAACTGTGTTTTTCAAAATGCGAAATGTCATACAAATTCGCGTTGCAAGTAGTTGCCGGGCTGCGACTGCTATTTGGTTTTTTTTGCTTTTTTGTTTTTGTATCCATTCGTTGCTCGTTGTTCGTTGTAGGCAAATAATATCCTACTTTTTGAATTTTGATCGTAAAACTCGACAGCCAAACCACCTACTCGACGCGTTGAGGTGAAATTGTGCACTGAGCTTGTGATGCATGAGCGGTACAGCAAACACACATAAATATCTAGGTATGTAGGTATGTAGATGAAAAAGTTGATATTAAGGCACTAGTAGATGACAGGCGGCACGGCTAAGCAAACACACAAAACTACGCGAACACTTAGGCAACCGCATATCTACCTAGTATATACCTACGGCTACCTAAAACATACATACTTACATACACATGTCATTATGTGTACGCAGATAAAAGCTACTCACAAAATAAAATAGTAAACCGAAAGCGGCGCGCACGGAGCGTCCACGTACTTGTATGTAAACGCAGGCAGCACAGGAAATACACAAGCGAAATTCTTTGACAGCGCAACAATTCGCTACAAAATCAAAATTGACAACAACAACAACAATGGCAAGAATAAAGAGCACTAACAATAACATTATATTAAGAGCACTTTTGAGTTAAAAGGGCAGCTGAAACCCAAAACGCTTATCAGAAGCAAAAAGATGCGTAAGGCACACTATGGCCCCAGCGGCTTTGCGATATTTAAAAGCGCATTAAAATATTTACACGAAACAGACACAAACTAAAAACAACAACAGCACGCAACGTTTTCTTGAGTCAAGTATTGAATATCACACACACACATAACATACACATACTCACAGGCTTTTGCTTTTGATCACACATTAAAATCCATATTTATAGGTTGGAACGTCACCAGGTCGTATGAGTAATATTTTTGTATTTCATTTAACCAACTAACTCACCAACAAAAATAAACTGTACTCTCACACACAATGGTACAGGTGCTGGCATGCACTCTCCGCATTTGCTCACTTGCGATCGCCGTTTAGCACATATTAGGGCGACGATTTGTGTGGCTAGTCAGCTGATCGGCAACAATCACAACAAAGCCAGCACTTTATTAGTTAGCACAAACACAATATGACCGTAATACACACGTAGTTAACATATATACTTGAACATATGATCGAGGGGTTATGTTTGAGACGGGGACTTAGTATTGTTGATGCGCGTCCAGCGAGGCGCAAATCGCGTCTGACACAGTCACCCACTGAAAAGAGCGCCGTCACTATCGATTGTCAGCTAATTTGCAGTTGATTTTGTTTTTGTTATGCACTTATAACTGTAACTGTGTTATTTGTATAACATACATACAGATATAGATACATATATGGTACATAGTATATGTATATATTGCTGACAATTTGTGAAAATAAAATAAGTTCTGTTCTTATCAATAAGCAAAATTTGTTGCTGTTTTACACTACTCAAAAGCAATTTCAATTACGCGTGAATAGGAACGAAGCAAAATGTTAGTAAGAGTGTGAAGAATTTTTAAAAACTGGAGCTATAAAAAGAAATGTATCTTGATTATATGCGTTAGTGCTCCGAACTGAAGAATTTGCTCGGATAATGTAGTGTTGTCGTGGACAATAATTCATGCCAAATTTCGTGAAGATATCTCGTCAAATGAAATAGTTTTCCATACAAGGATTTGAGTTCGATCGACCAGTCTGTATGGCAGCTATATGCTATAGTTGTCCGATCTGAAAAATTTCTTCGAAGACTGTAGCGATGCCGCAGATAATAAACTGTGCCAAATTTCGTGACGCTACCTTGTCAAATAAAAAATGTTTCCACACAACAACTTGATTTGGATCAATAGTTTGTATGGCAGCTATATCGGACCACTATATCGACGGTACCGACAATTTAGAAGGTTTTTAGGGAGTGAAGCGTGTGTGGGAAATTTTAATCGATCTTTCAAAAACTAAGGCAGTAGCTCACGGATATACGAACAGACGAATAGACAGACGTCACATATAGCTGAGCATTTATATGTGTAGATACTTTATAGGGTCTTGTTTTTGTATTGGTATTTGGTATAAAAGGGTATAATAAATTATATAAAAGTTCAAAATTTGGAAATTCTAATTAGATAAATCATTTCCCGTGGAAACACCAAAATACAATATTAAAATGAATGCCGAGGGCTCAAAAAACGAATGAGAATGTTAAAAAGTATTCACTTGATGAACTAAAATCTATCATCTCGGTTTAAACAAAAGTGTAAGAGATCATCACTAGGACACCAAGTTCATCTCGGACTAGTGACTTCAAAAACGCTGCTTACTTATATATGATATGAAGAGTAAGGAACATAAATCATCCAGCATCACAACGAACTAGAAGGACTGTGTAGATTATTGTCAGGCAAATTGACCAAACCTAACTGTAAAAAGAGAACCATGGTCTACCTATTAAGATAATTCTGAAATATTTAGTTTATTTATGATAGGGTCCAACTGTACGGTGGTAGTCCAAAATATATTTGATTTCACTAAAGTTCAGAGGGTTTATCTACTGCCTTATTGAAAGCTAGGGCATTTCGTGCTTCGCTAAGTAATTTCATAATTCCGATAAGTAATCGACTGCAGTTGTTACAGAAAACTAATAAAACAAATGTATGATGATGTGATGATCTGAGTGCGTCTTATTAGAAATATTTATGTTGGTACTACCTCGAGAATTCATAGCCGTGCAATATAATCTGCTTTCAATCATCTGCTTCTATATATCTACTGGTTTTCGAAGCAAGCATTTGTCAAGATAAGAACTAAAATTAATTTATAAAAATGTTCTTATTTTTCAAACTTTCACAAGTTTAAGCTGAGATTTCTAGGATTTATACCTGTGAACCGTTTGCAATATATTGATTTGTACTCGTTCAAAGCCCGCCAATACTAACAAAAATGATTGTGATTAACGAAAAAAAATAAAATTTTTTAATATCACTGGATTACGAACAATTTGCTTTGAGCAGATTCTTATTAACCACAAAAGCACTGTACAGCTGTTATCAGTTGAGAACATGAGAGAAGGTCATATAACCGTGGAAAAAGTGTGAAATCGAGTGAGTGGAGAGTAAGTAGGTGAAAATGTTTGTAAGTAAAGCTAATTGAAACACTTGAGGCGAGAAATGTATAATCACACTGCAGGTGTTTAATTTATTTTTAATAATAAAATAATTTGTAGAAACTAATTAGAGGAATGGAAAATAAATAGACAGTATAGAGTTTTTGTACTCACAACGATATTTAAGTAATTAGTTTATAAGCAAATAATATTATATTACGAAGTATTTTATTCCAAGATTTGTATGATTTTTTTTGTAACGAAAAAGTGTATACTTGGCATGAAATTACAAAAAATGTTATATAATACTTAGTGAAAGTATTGTAGCATAGCGTCAGTTATTTTTCTTTTTAAACTAAAACAAGACATTTAAAAATGAAACAAATTGCATTTTTGAATGCTTTAAATATTATGTATTATTTTTGTAAGTTCACCACTGAATTTTTATTAGCTGCAACTTTTGAAAGTTGCGAAAAAAACAAAACAAACCTTGAAAGCGCAAATGAGTGATCCTCACAAGAAGCAAAACTGCAAAACTGCAAAACTCGAGGTTCAAAATAAAATACTTAACTAACCCTAATTATGCGAACTAATAGAGCAATAATTTTCTGTGAAAATAAAAAATGATGCAATGAAATGAAAAAGCGAAGGAGGAAGCAAATGTTGCATGGCCGTGGTAAACAGACACACACCCACAAAACAAACTGACA